ATTGCGCAGGGGGTGGCATTTGTAGCCCCACTAGTCCTGGGAGCTTCGGACGCTATGGCCAAGGGGGGGGAGTACGGTATCCTGGAAGGACGGAGCTTCGCCTTCGTGCACCCGATTGTCATGGGGGCTTTGTTTTTGACCACCGCCTACACGGGGTACTTGGGCTGGCAGTTCCGAACCATCCGTACGTTGGCGGGGGAGATGAGCGCGTTAAAAGACTCGCTGCCCAAACTTTCGGACGGGAGCAAGGTGACCTTGCCGGTCTCGAAACAGATCGCCTCGGTGGAGAGTGCCTTGAAGAACATGGGAGAAGGCGATGAGGAAGCGAAGCAATTGAAAGCAGACCTGAACCTGCTGCGTTCGCCCGGCGTGGCCGTTCTGGACACGCAGATGGCCGCATTGAGCGAGAAGCGCAAGACTTTGCTTGCAGGCGATTTCCGAGACCGGCACTACAACACGGCCTCCACGCTCCTAGGGCTGGGAGTCTTCACCTCCATTCTGGGCGGCTTCAATACCTTTTTCCGCTCCGGGAAGCTGTTTCCCGGACCCCACCTGTACGCAGGAGCAGGAATAACAGTCTTGTGGGCGGTGGCGGCCTCCATGGTGCCGGCGATGCAGAAAGGCAACGAGACTGCCCGCTCGCTGCACATCGGCTTGAACGCATTGAACCTGGCTTTGTTCGCGTGGCAGGTGGGAACGGGGCTGGAGATTGCCATCAAGGTGTGGGGGTTCACAAAATGGCCCTGAGGGAGAGACAAGGAGGGAAGCAGAGGACAAGCGTGGGAGGGCTGACTATTCGAGAGGACAGGCAGGCCTGGTTTAGGTCCACAGGAGCGCCCGCCTTGTGGGTAAGTGAGTAGAGTGAATATTTTAGGGTATTTGTGTGGTTGAGGGTGGAGCCCTGTGTCGCCACACGATGATCGGATTGAAGGACAACCTGAGAATGCCCCCGTCCGATTCAAAACTGAAACATTGTTTTTTTCGGCGAGGATCTGAAGAAAAAATATATATATATTGAGAGACAAGAGACTTGATATCGATTGCTAGTTGCTTTCTTTTGTCCCCGTGGGAGCCTTGTCATTGATAAAGCTTGATCAGCTCGTCCGAAACGGCAGCCGGCGTCAAAATTCCCAGATCTGTAAACAGAAGGCTGATGTACTGGGCAGGCGTATAGTCGCAGCTGGGGTTCTTCGTCGTCATGGCGGCAACGCCGGGCCCGCTGTCGAAAATGGTGTTCTTACCTAATAGGTTCCCCGAGCTTCCCCTCTCCTGTCTATGCCGCCCTTCCCCCTCCTCCACCTTCCCCGTTGCCGTCCCACCCTCTATGTCGGTAAGTAAAGGTGGAAACAGTGGTTTCTCTACGTCGTTGTCTACATTGTCCTCCAAGTCGGCCTGTGTCAGCGGGTACAAGCGAGCAAACTTGTATGATTCAGCCGCCACATACAAAGGCTTGTTGTACAACTTCGCCACCATGGCCAATTGACACGTCCCAATTTTGTTCACGATCCCTCCGCTTTCAACCACGCCCTCTGCTCCGAGCAAGACTATGTCGACGCGCTCCATGAAGTATGCGGCGGCCGAGTCCAATATCACCGTGACGGGGATCCCGGCTTCTGTCAAACGCTCGGCGGCTTTGAAACCTGACCCTTCCGGACGTCCTTCCGTCACCATCACCGTGAAATTTTTGTTGCTTTGTGCAGCACGGATGAGGACGCCGGTGACGACTTCGGAGCGTCCGTGGGTGAGGATCATCATGCCATCTTGCACGAAGCTATGCCCGAGCTCGGCAATCCCAAGCCGGCTCTTCAAAGCATTCGCCACAAAATGATGTCCACGTGCGATGAAAAGTTTGTTCAGCGTCTCAAAATCAGGGACATCGTCGTTCTTGCGTGTTGCATACCGGAAAAAAAGCTCGACGCAGGCACGGAAGGAAATGGAGGCCCGACCACCACTTATCCTCCGTTCATATTCAATTAACTCGCTCGTCGCTGCTTTGAGATCATTTTGAATTCCCATTATTGTGACCGCACGACTGCTACTCATCACATGGAGGAGAGTCTGCACCCCTGCTATAGGGACGGGAACATTTTTCTCCAAATGACTTCGAAAGACGGATAAAAGAGGGTCATCCGACGATGGAGCTGAGGAATGGGAGGGCAAGTTTGAAGGGGGTATTGAAGGCTCAAGAGCTGCTTCCATTACAGGAGCGTTGGCTGTATCGAAGTAAATGGTGCATGGCAAGGAATACGATAAAGCATCAGAGTGATAACTGTAGGCAAATAGGACGGAGGGCATATGAGCAGGCATCAGAATGAGGGAGTATCAGGGGCCGTCAGGGTGTCGCTCTCATCCTAGCGAGTGGCCTTTTGTCCGTACATTTTTTCCTCTAACTCCCGGCCTGCACACATATTATCGACAATTGCATTGGCAGGCACGTGAAACATATATCTCATCATAAAGGGAGAATCCTTTTGAGAGGGTAGAAAAGGCCTTGGAGTCAGCAGACCTCGACCTCCCGCCACTGCCTAACGAAGTTGCCCTACTGCAAACTGCCTCTACTTCTGGACAATTTAAAACGATCAGCGCCTATAATCGTAAGCACAAGGGTATAAATGGCCAAATATCACATCCTCTTGCTCATTGGCTTGCTCGGTGCAACTGGAAAGGGCGTCGCAGCATTTCTGCTCCCAGTATCATTGGGACCTGCCTCAGGTTTGTCAGAAGTCACGGGGGCAATAAAGTGATTGCCGTTCGAATCATACCGCCGCAATATTGTGCTTTCGGTGATCTTACATTTTATTTCCTAACGATTGGTATAATTGCTCTCTCTTCTCGAAAAAGATGCCCAACTCCCTAGTCCCCCCCTGGCGACCACTCTCGGGTACGGCATCCCCCGGAGCCCCTTCATCCTCTCGCCTCTGTACGCGGCAGCGGACACTGCCATGGATGGATCGTCCGATGAAGACGACGAGGAAGTCGTGCCGGGCAAGATGAAAGTGAGCGAAATTAAAGCCGAGCTGGATTTGAGGGGCGTTACTTCCGCAGGCGTTGTCGACAGAGCTGAGCTGGAGGCTCTCCTGCTCAAGGCCCGAATTGAAGGGAAAGCACGACCTGAAATATTGGACACTTTTAATGAACAGCGGTAGGATTGGAGGAATTCTGGTGTGGCGGAGGGACGGAGGGGTAGGCGTCGTGCGAATGAGGCGGCGTTGGGAACGATGCGTGAAAATTGACGGAAGTACACGTGTGCACCCTAGTGAGAAGGATTGATATGGAACTATCAATGGTAAATGTCAAATAGAGATGCCCGCTAGGCTTACTCATTTCCTGTCCCATGTTTTCTCACGCTAGAGAGGCGGAGGAAGCGCGGAAGGGAAAGAAACCAGACTTTGACTGGGACGCCGCGAAGGCGGGCGATGGTGCGTAGAATACTTGAACATTCAATAAAGGAGATATTTGTCTTGTATCGCCTCGATACCGTGATTTTTAATCGTCCCGTAAGGGTACTTAAACTCTACCCCCCTGACGCTTGCTTTTTTTTGATTCAACAGGCAACCTCCCTGGGGGGGTGGACCCGGAGGCCTTGCAGAAATTGACGAGCAGTCAAGAGATGATGGAAATTATGAGCAATCCCCGTCTGCAGGTCAGTCTCAGAGCAATGACCGCGCCTCTCTGTACTTCTATGTTTGACTCTCACACGTATCACAGGAATTGATGAAAGCTGTCATGTCCAAGGACCAGGACGTCATTCAAAAGTACATGGCCGACGCTGAAGTTCTACAACTTATGGCTCGCTTCCAAAAGCTATCAGCAGAAGCGGGTCTGGATCCATCCAAGTTTCCACCGCCCCCAGGGATGGAATGATAGTGCTGGACCATCCTCATGACGGCATTTGGGGGTCAGTCCTTTCTTTGAGAAGGGCGGTATCGAACAACATGAAGCTACAGACACTTGTGCGGATAATATTTAGATTATAGAGTATTCGTTGTGCTCCTCGTGCGGGGAAAAATTAGGCATGGGTATTATGGTGCCGCCGCTTTGTCGCCGCGGAAAAGACGCGACAATCAGCCGCGCCTAAAGAAAATAAATGAAAATTAAGGCGCGCCCTTGGAGGACTCAAATTGGATCTGTTGATTGGAGGCATGACAAGAAGAGGCTTCACATGCGTTCTCGGTTATTTTTCTTTTTCGTTGGATCCAAAGATGTGACCCGCCTGGTCACCCTGTGAAGATATCTACGGTTCGCACAAAACTTTTTCACGGATTGCGCATCATGGAAGGGCAACATTATATATATTCTAGGATGTACGTATTACTTTCCGAGAACCAAATGTTTTGAGCTATAGCCTCCTCGTCCTTCGCTGCCGCAGTCGAGGTCATTTTGTTACCGACCCACCCCATTGAAGGGAGGCGTCAATAACGAATGTTTTGGAGTGAAAAACTCACACAAAGTGACGGACCCGTAGGAAAGACGAATACGTGTAATGCAGCCAATGTAACTGTATTATTACTTTGTGGATGAAAAGGAGTCAATAAGAAGTTGGGAAAAAAAAATGGCGAACAAGAGAGTTGAAGAAAGCACCGAAGCGGATCGACTCCGTTTCCCTGCGTGCGCCATTTTATCTCTTTATATCAGAAAGCATTGACTAGTGTACCATACGTATTCGGAAAGGAAGTAAAATATTGGGTAAACGAGGATTCACAAGTCAAAATGCCACGAATGGCTCAGAAAAGCCGTGCCTTTTGTGGAAAATCATACTGAGTACAGCACGTCGCCAGAATATAAACAACAATCCAGCAGTCCTTATTAGCTATCTCTTCACATTTCGGCATACAGAACATTCAAGTGAATGTTGATATCCCTCCTGATCTAATATTGTGGCTTGGGAATTCTTTGGCTTATATACAACACGAATACCCCGCTACTCAAGAGATCGCTTGCCAGGCAGGGTGTTCAGCTTGTAGCCGTGACTGACTTGTATTTCGCAAAACACCTCACCAAGCACGCTCACACAGATAAAATTCATGGGTATGGTGCATAAAATAACCCCAGACCTCTTACGGGGTGTGGCCTTAGGCTTGCTGGGTGCCTTTGTGCTTGCCATAATGAGTTATCACCTCACAGTATTCATATTCCGCAAGCGATTTCCAGTTCCTCCCAAGGGGGGAGCCATCGTCATTACTGGCGCAAGCACCGGAATCGGCAACCATGCTGCACAGCATCTGGCAAGGCAAGGTTATATCGTATACTGTACCGTACGGAAGCCGGCAGACGTGGAAGCTATTCAGGCGCTAGGGCTGCCCAATCTGCGACCCATTATCATGGACGTTGCTCAGGCCAAATCCATCGAGAACGGGGCCGAAACCATTCTGGCAGAACTTTCGAAAAATAACATTCCCCTAATTGGTCTCGTTAATAACGCAGGCGTTGCACAGAAGTTCCCCTTGGAATTCCACCCTTTGACGGACCTCCGCAGCATGTTCGACATCCACGTGATAGGGCCTCTCGAACTGACCCAGCGCCTCTTGCCCGCCATTCGAGCCAACAAAGGTCGCATCGTCAATCTCTCCTCCATCACTGCACTTGTGCTTCTTCCAACAGGGGCAGCTTACGGTGCCAGCAAATTGGCTGTGGAGGGGATTAGCGACGGGCTACGGCGAGAGCTCGTCGACTTCGATTGTTCGGTGTCCATTGTACAACCCGCGTACGTCAACACGGCCATCTTCAAAAAAGTCACCCAAAGTATCGACACAAAAGTCGAAGTCTCGCCGGAAATCATGACTACCTACGGGTATTTTTTCCGGACCGAAAAACGTATTAAAGACCGAGCGGCTGTGGACAAAGCAAGCCCCCCCTCTGTCACCACAGACGCGATAACTCATGCATTGACGTCTCCTTACCCACATACACGCTACATCGTGGCAAATGTGAGCGGAATACCAGCATTCTGGCTGGGCTGGTTGGTCTGGCTCTGTCCGGACCGGTTGGCGGATTTTATCATGGGAAAATTCTCGTGAGGCAATCCAGAAAGGATGGGGAAAGGCAATAGCGTCCTGCTCAATCCCTTTTGAGGTATGACGCGTGCTGCAGAAGAGATGTACAATGGTGGTATCATAATGCGAGGCTGTAAGCATGGTCAGGTATGAGAAACGGGGATGCATAGAAGGAGGAAAAGTGCTATTGTTCAAGCTCCGTGCTGCTTCGCGGAATAACTTGAACGCAATCAAGGATTCACGGGCTAAAATGAAATAAAAATTATAGACAAGTACAGAGTCTTTGAAAAGATGGCCAGGATCATGTACGAGAAGGAGTTTAAAAAGAAGAAAGGGGGCAGTTTGGCCAGAAAAAATGAGAGTACACTCTCGTGTTGACATACTACATCGCGCTTATTCACAGAGTGTTTGTATACTCGCGTCGAATGCAGGCTACTTTGATTAAGCAGGACGACTCCAGAGGTATCTGCATAGTTTCATGTCACATTTATTCTTCTGTTTCCCCTTCTCTCTTCCCCTCCTTTACTCTCCGCTGTCAGCAGCGTTGCCGCCTCAACCGCGTGCAGAGGTACCAGTAACGGTTGCGAGACACGTGGCCCGAAGAAATCTTCGGGAAAAGCCGTTTGATTCATTTTCAAGACTGCCCGAATGTCCGAGACAAAGGACGGGGATTCGATGGCCGGAGAAGTGGACGTTTCCAATTTGAGCGCCTCGTCCTCCAGGCAGGCCAGGGCCTTGATGTCTTCCGAACAACGGAACCGGAAGGGGTTGATGACGATGCTGACCTCGGAATTGGAGGCGGACGGGGCGGAGGGAGGACAGGAGAAAGAGGGGCAAGACTTGGGTTGAGGCCGAGAACATCGTGAGGAGTTCGCGATTTCCTCCTGATCGAACGCCGCCACTCCGGCTTCTCCCGGAGAGTGCGCCAGCCGGACTTGCACGAGTCTACGAGACCCTCTTCCCCAAAGGCGGAGGGCACGAAGCGTCCGCATGGGACCCCGCAAGCTCTCTGGTACGTCTCCCGTGAGCACGTGCGCCCCAAAAAGATCACAGGATCCACTGGCTTTGGAGGGGGCCGCTGCGGCAGGGTTACGGGGGGGCTCTATTACAAAGCCCAGGGAACGGCAGAGGGGAGCGGGGACCGAAGGCGTCATAGAGGGGGAAGAAAAAACACTGGGGAGTGTGCACGTGTTGAGAGAGGAAACAAGTGCCAGCTGTAGGTTATACTTGTGCACAGACGTGGATTGAAAATGCTGCAGGATCGCAGCCGTCAAGAGTCCGCCCTCGCTGTCGCCCTCGTAGCCCCCGACCAGAAAGAGATCCAAGGTTAGCGGCTCAGTCGGCCGTCGAAAGCCACCTAGGGCATTCCCAGCATGGCTCTCCGACCGCAGCATGCTTTCTTTCTGGACGGCGTCTTCAACGGCCACCAAATCTGGCACCACCTCCACAGCGTCGACATGGGCCAGACCCACAACACCTGTACACGGTTCCCGAATGCCCACCAAATGGCACGTTGTGGCGTCGTCGCTGACTATGTAATCTATTTTATCCCCAGGTCCGACCACTGCCCATTCGTGCTGCATAATGTACAGGCACCGCGCGCGGCGACAACGGCCTTTAATCTCCTCTGCCCCTACTTTGTTCTCGTGAGAAGCGGAGCATGCGGCAGATAAATGGCCGATCAGGGTATTGCAGGATGCCTGATTGGCAAACTTGCGTGTTCGCTCCAAAAGGGCAGGTAGATGGTGCTTAAGGATGTCAACAAGGAGCTGTCCAAAGGAAGCGGAGAGCAGGGGCCGGGGGCTTCGCTTGGCGTGTAACGCTGTCCGGAAAAGGACATTTATGTCCTTCTCAAGCCGATGCGAGTGAGAGGTGACCTCCATAGACACATTTTCAATCAAAGAAGTGCCAGATGATGGAGAAGAAGGCGAGAGCAACGGCATTATTCCAGGGCCTTATCCTGTTTGAAGGGGAGGGTACGGCGGCGCAATTAAGAGCTTTCTTGGCCATCTTAAGCATCTTCATAATGATGTCCACAAGTGCAACATGTGGACCTAGTTATCTTCATGGAAGTATTATGTATCAGTACTTTAAGATATGAGGATATTTTTTTTTGCGATTTTTGAAAGAAGTTTAGTTGGGCAGCACGGCAATTCATTACTTAGCCGGTAGAGAGGCTACGGTCATCACCGGGAATAAATGTCATGAGTTGCATTTGGTAACGCTATTCATGCTTGGCAGTTCAGATTCAAATGGTGATCTATAAAGCGCCGCATCCCGTTTTCAGGGGTACTTGAATAGAAGCTCGCTATGGGCACTTTCTTATCCATCCCTTCCACGGGTACCACTTCGCAAAGCAATCGCTGTCACAAAACAGGGTCATTTACAATATGCTTAAAAACCGCGACCAGTCGCGATTTAAGGCTACAAAGGATATTGCACAGGCCCATGGCACATCGAAAGATACTACAAAGACCCCACACGGACAAGAGAAGGACAGGGACACATGAATATGTTCCTTCGGGGGGGGTGCGGCAGAAGGATCGCTCCTTGAGGAGACGAGAAAGCATCTCGCCAAGAACCCCAGAAAGTGGCCCGACATAAATCAAGACTTGTGTCCGTCCTCCCGACAATAACCACAACAAAATGATTTTAACAAAATCTTTGCCTGATGATTGAGTTGTGACAGACGTGGCATAGATTCTTCGATGAAAATTCGTAGGCCTCATTTTTATGGCTAGTATCCTCCTATTTTCGAATAGAAAAATATTTCTGGTCAAAAAAGAGACTGTGTCGATTTTTAAGTTCTTCTGAAATCCTTTGACATAAATTCTAGCTGTATGACTCGCGTACTACAGTCGTGTCCTAACTTAACATGTCTGGCGGAAGCTCTGTCGACGTGAGTTTTAATGTTGTTTTACGCTCCCATCTAGGGAGGACCTTCACGTTTTAAAATGCAAATCTTCTCCTAAATACATAAATTCAAATGTCAAAATGCTCTTGTTGGACATGGGAAAAATTGGTGCGAATGTTCATCACGTATTTGTCAAGGAAGGCTACTTTTATATTTCAAAATAAATGCGGCCAATGAGCGTCATGCATTAGACATGAATATATGCGGTCGACCACCAGGGATTGCTCGTTAATGATAAATTTTTGATACATAAAGCATGACTCAGGTTTGTATTATTATCAGACACGATATCGCTCAAATGGAAATGAATCTATACCTCTATATGTCCGACTCAATCCGATGCTGACTTACTAGTAAGACACGCAAACAATTCTATTGTCAGGGGCAATCTGGTAAGTTTATCCCAGCCATGCCAGTCCTCTACATTATAGATATTCAAAGCAGAATGTGGTGCTATCAAGAATCAGAAGTGTTCATATTTTGGAAAGAAAGCTATATCTAAGGATATCTAATCTCACTCTTCGTGCAACAAACAGACAGCAATCCGCCTTAAAACCACTAAATATCAGCAGACAAAATAGTAAGAGCTCTATTAAATCATTTTTTGTCTACGACTACATCTCATACATCGTAATTTCCCCAATACATTTATTGCATTGGCACAGAGTTTCGCAGAATAACTTGAATTATTGACTCAAAAGCTTTCATGAACGGTGACCTCATTTGCAGCTCCAACCCATCGTGTTGGACGAAGGTCTGGGTTACATTTGTGGTTCCGATGGGAGGCTCCAGGCACAACCCCTTTTATTTGAATATGCACAAATTTGCAGGATTCAATCTTACTACAGAAACTTTGTTTTTGCGGGTTGGCTCCGGATCACAACCATATTGACTATATAGGATCAAATGTATCCCAATCAGTCCCAGTAAAGTGAGGACGGGAGTAGACTTGAAGAAAACGAGAAAGGCCTGTTCTGAAAAGAGGTACCTGATTGTTTAGTCTTTCCCTTCCTTTCCGAGAGTTGGAGACCAGGGGTTCCTCCAATAGGATACATTTTTTAAAACTTCTTGCGCGTTTGGTCGTTATTGCGATTTTCTCGGGCGATAGATTTTGGGTTTTCAGAAGATTATTGAGTTGTTCATCCCAATAAATCTCTTCGATACGTGCAACGATATGACATCCGGTCCTCATGAAAATATGATACACCATGCATTCAGGATCTCTCCGTCGTGGCTGCACAGAAGTGTTCCTTTTTTATTTGTTTGAGTGTGCGTGCGTGTGTGTGTTTTTGTGTGTGTGTGTGTGTGTGTGTGCATGTGTATGTATGTGTACGTGTGTATGTGTGCGTGTGTGGAATATTCCCACTTTTGCAAGAAACCGAAGCATCCATTGCAGAAATGAGGAATCCATGGCTACGGTCCAAAAGGTCAAAACTTAACACTCAACACTTAACATTTCATCCCCTGTTTTGTTGTATGTTATTGGTCTTTCCGTATGTTTGCGTTTTCTCCAGGAATATCACAGGACTAACTTTCGTCAATCTTTTCATTCCTGAGCATGCAAGGTTTTCATATTTTATCGAAGCATTGCACGACGGAGCGCCGGTTCAAAGACTGACACTATACTGCCTTCAATACTGACATCTCGTATCTCCTCCCTCCGTAGGGATGCAATATGAAGGACTAAATCACGAAACGACGCAATTCTATACGAAGTCTTGCCAATAGTCCAGCAGAACGATGAGAAGTTCTGAACACAAACTTGCGTTAGCCGATTTCGTCCACCGCCTCAGGACACCAGTCCACTTCTCGCAATTGGCCCGGTTGTGTCTCAGAGAGCAGCAGTGTGAGTTGCAGATTCACAGCTGACACGTATTTCCCATGCAATGCTGTACACTTTGGAACTCTGTGAAAACTTTTCTTCTCAAGTCGTACTGTCTTTGAGTATAGACCGTATTAGTATACTATTCTTTATATCATTAAGCTCGCAGACATGGCTACGGGCAGAAGGACTAATGGATTTGCGAGTTTGCACATGTACAGGCAGAAACGAAAAATAGCCCACGGTTGCCAAAGGAAATCATCGAAGGCACCTGTGCTCGGGTACAATGTTCGAATATCTGTCACAAATCATTCCAATATAATGTTGATAGGTGTGAAAGATCCAGTGGAGAAGCAACAATAGCGTAAAATCAGTGGCGTAAACTCATACAATCTATAGTAGCACGGTTCCAACATTTGTGGAAGGATCCTGCGCACCTTTCACAATTATTGCGCCATGTCAATTTCCTCGGGCGCGACATATCTATGGAGCTATAAGCTGGAAGACTCAAGGCTCACGCTTTTCAAAGGAGGTACGCCTGCGATACGCCTGCTCTTCCCCCCTACGAAGAGCAGATAGTAGATCAAAGAAAGAATTCCCCACATGACATGTCCGTGTCATCATCTTCGCTGTTTCATGCTTGGATCTGACACTGAATATTCTACTGGTGATCAATAATCTCTGCAGTTGGGCATTCGTCTCGGACAGATAACATAAGAATATAGCCTTTTCTTGTGCTTTCTTTAATCTCTTGTATAACACTTAATTTTTACAGATACAAAACGCGCTTTCTCATGCAAAATGAGTTGACGTCTTTAGACTTACGCTTGATGCTGAGACATCATTGCCTCTAATTCTGGAGGATGCGCGTCCAAGTCATCATCATTACCCAGCATTTTCACAGCTTCGTAGTTGATCTTCTTAGAAATGCGCTTCTTCGCCAAATGGTTAGACACGGCGATCTCAGCAGGGGACCTTTCGGGCCCTGCTGGTGTAATGGCACCTCCCTCCCCTGCTCCTTGTTGCGCTCCTGAAACCACAGACGCCGCCGCTGCCGCCGCTGCTGCTTTCCTTCTCTGATTGCTTTGGCCCGGTGGCCTGTAATTAAAGTCTTCCTCTGCTCTCTTTTTCACAGCTTCCTCCTCCGCCTTCTTTCGTGCTTGCTTTTCCAAATATCCTTTGTGGACTTCATGCCAGACCTTGCTCAATTTCTCTACCTCAGCATTCGACCGAATGTACTGCGCCGTATCATCCGTTTCTTTTGCCTCGTCCTGCAGTACTCCATCACCTATAAGCGCTTCAACGCCGCTTTCTGACAAAGCTATCTCTCCGCCCTTCTTTCCCCCATGCTGTTGACGACCAGGTGCCTGACATCCCGCCGCTGCCGCTTCTGCCACCGCGATCTTCTTCGCTTTCTCCTCTTCCTCATCCAACAACTGATCCATCAGCTCCTTGTGCAACCCCCCGTCAAAATCTCCCACCCCACCCTCTTCATCCTCGTCTTCTTCCTGAGGGAGAGGGTCCTCTTCCTGCGCAATTTCTTCGAGAGGCTCCGACCTCCGCACTCGTTTGCTGCTCCGTATCGTGGCTACACTTGCTCCGCGTCCCCTCCCACGGCAAAGCCCGCCTCTTTTGCTTCCTATCGTGGCAGCGGCGGCAGCCACAGCAGCGACTGCGGCAGCGGCGGCACTGACAGTACCAGGGCCCGACGGGGTAGAAGAGTCTTTTAACGTCGCTAACCTCTCCTGCTCTTTGGCCCCGGGCCCATTCCTCTCCTCAAAATCCTTTTTCCCTTCCTGCAATGCTTGGGCTTCCTTCATTTTCAGCGCTCGCGTGAAGGAGGGCGGGTCCGCCTCCCCCAAGTAGGACCCTGGCCCCTGCCTCCGTGTCAGGTCCTCAAAGTCCGAGATCGCCATCTCCGCCAACTCTTCCCGGGACATCATCCCTGAAATCGGAGTGCGTTCGAATTCGTCCACGCGTTTCTTGATTGTATCTGGCGAGACTCGGACGATCCGCCCGACGTCCTTGTACGTGCGGGGTTTTTCGTGGTAAACTGCCGAGAGATAAAGGGCAGCTCCACAAATGCCCGAGGGCCGGCGTCCAGCCTGAATCCAATCGCGTTGCATGGACGCGACAAGACGAAGGGCGAGTTGCGAGACTTGGGTTTGTTCTTGCTCGCTGCCAAGCTCAAGACGGGCCGCGAATCGGTGGATGTAGATGGACGGATCG